GTCAAATTGCACGGCAACATATCCTGTGGGAGATCTAGGCTATTAATATGAAGATATATCTACATTGGCATGGTAATACATGTATAAGAATTGATCCATACTTATAATGTTGCAGTAACTAGGCAGCAGAAAGTCACTTTACAGAACAAACATGGTGAAAAGCTTGTGGGCGTCTTCCATGATGCTGGATCTGCAGATGTTGTAGTCTTATGTCATGGATTTCGATCCTCAAAGGTTGGAAGCTCTTTTATTCTGCTCATGATACCTACTTTTACTGTCTTCCGTCTTCCAGTTACAACTTTGTTCAATCTTTGAATTTTCCAAAACCAAATGTCTTTATTTTTTCTTTTTCTTTAGATCTAATGGTAGCTGGAATATTACTGAATTGCATCCCCTTCTTTATTTCTGTATTGATGGAAAGCTAGGTGGGCACTTGTTTATTTGTGGCACACAGAACTAATCTGGCATTTGTAACCCCAATCTTTTGCTGTTAATACTGATTTACTTGACTTCCTTTGGTTGAAAAGGCTTAATAAAGCTCACGTGGTTTTGTAGTATAGTTTAGGCAAGTGAATGAAGTTCGTCTATAGTTTAGAAGAAAGTGCAAGGACGCTTCTTCAAAAAAAGATAAGTGATGATGTAAGACTCAAGCAGTAAATTGTTTATTAGAGATCCTGAGTGTCTGAAAACAGTGATAATAAGCTCATCTTGGTTTATTTGGGAGTCTTAATGGATATAATTAAGATTGTGTAATACCTTCATCTTTTCTTCTTCTTCCTTTATTAGTATTATTATTAAGATTGTTATTGTTGTTGTTGTTGTTGTTGTTTCTTTTTGCAATTTAGACCAAGTACTTGACTAAAATATCTTTTTTGTGATATGGCACAACAACCAACATATGGTGTGTGTGTAATATACTGAGTTGTAGATTGCTAACTTTTAATCTTCATTTGTGTTGTCAGATGAACGAGACTATGATGAATTTTTCTGCTGCTCTAGAGCAAGAAGGCATTAGCGCATTTCGATTTGACTTTGCTGGAAATGGGTAAGCTTTATCACTGTGGTTCATTTAATCACTGTTCTACAGGTTTTCGAATATTATCCTTTAGCATGTAATATATTGCGTGATGAATTTGTGTCCAAATAACAGCCACATTTGTTATACTGGAATTTCATCACTAGCTAACAAATGGATACTACCTTTTAATTGGTTAATACTGTGCTTTTCAATGCCATGATTTCCCAGGTTAATGAGCTGCTTGTAATGTGCTCCCTTCACTCCAGCATTGATTTCTTACCTTAAATTGAAAAAGTATGGCTTTAGGGTTCTTATGGGCTGTAACCAACCCTTGTACATTAGTGATTAATTGGTTTAATTACATAATTATTTGTAAAGAGCTTATTCAATTGGGCCATTGTAAAGAGTTTGTCTAATTAGCTCTATACTTAATTGGTCAGTGCAATCTAATTTAGGAATTTATACTGCTCCAAGATGTTAATTTTGCCTGAAATTCTTTATGCTTCTGAGAGTTTGATGCAATGAAAAGGGTACTGTTTAGCACTTGCTTTATTTTGGCTAGATCTCCTCTTCGTCAGGGACCCTGAGATTTAGTTGAGGTTATTATTTCTGGCAATTGTATGGATAGATTCTACTAACCTCTCATCACAATTATTCATTTCCAGAGAAAGTGAAGGCTTATTTCAGTATGGCAACTATTGGAGAGAGGTTGAGGACTTGCGATCTGTGGTTGAGTACTTCATTGCAGCCAACCGTAGGATTACTGCAATTCTTGGGCACAGTAAAGGTGTGCAAACTTTTTGAAATAGTGTGAAACATATTTGATAGAAATTAATGCACGCACATAAGTTGTAAATCATGAGAACTCTGTGCATGTATATTTATACTTAATTTTTTAAATTGGTTTTGACTAGATGATACAACTTTTGGTGCTTTAAATTGCAGGTGGCAATATTGTGCTGCTATATGCATCTAAATATCATGATATTTGCAATGTGATCAATGTGTCTGGCCGTTACAAACTGGATAGGGGCATTGAGGAGCGACTGGGAAAAGACTTTTTGGAAAGAATCAAGAAAGATGGCCATATTGATGTTAAAAGTGGAGCTGGTAATTTTAATAACGCATTGTAATGATTATCTAGCATCTGACTGTTCACCACCTGATTATTTATGGCTCTAAATTCAGGGAAAAAGAATATGAGCAGGACCTACTGCTTAGGACCCCATGTTGCATTTTTCTGTGCTTTACTTGTTTTACACGGGTATTCAATTTTTACATGGAGTAAAAAGTTCCGGTTTATCAAACGAATTCCCCGTTTGCAAATTCATCTTTCCTTTCTGATGCTTTACAAGTGCTTTGAAAGCATTATTCTCTTTAGTAATGCATGTTGTATGGTTTTCTACTCCTGCTCATAGTGGAGCTAATGAAGTTCTTCATTATGCAGGTGATGTTCAATACCGTGTCACGGTGGAAAGCATGATGGATCGACTGAACACAAACATGCATGAGGCGTGCCTTGTAATTGACAAAGAATGCAGGTTAGAGTAGCTTATTTAGACCCCGTTGTTTACTAGCCTGCTTTAGACCTGGCTGTTTTGAGCCTTCATAAGTTATCCCATTACCGCCTCAATCACATGAACCAAAAACACAGAAATGGTGTTCGACAAAATTGAAGATTTTCATGAAGCTTCTGCGCCGCGTAAAGTGACTTTGTTTTCTAGTGCGAGAAAGAATTCTGCGTAATTTGGGAACAGCATGAAATACCCGAAACTGAGATACATCGGTGGTTAAATATGTAATTACATATATATAACATAGGACTTTTGTTAACATGTATTGATAATGTAGTTGAGGCAGACGCATAGATTTTAATCTCCTATTAATGAGTAACTCTTATCTGCTCACCCGCTCAATATATGCGTTTGTACAGGGTATTAACGGTGCATGGGTCTGCCGATGAAATTATCCCTGTGGAAGATGCCTTGGATTTTGCAAAGATCATACCAAATCACAAGTTGCACATTATTGAAGGTGCCGACCACAGTTATACTTCACATCAAGCTGAACTAACTTCTGGTGTTCTGCCTTTCATTAAAGAAGGCCTTGCAGGAGGCCAGTAAGTAGCCTTAACCGAGTCAGATGGCCTTTCAAATTTACACCAACGGTTCCAAGAAGCTGAATAGTCGGTATTTTAGACTTACTTGGCCTAATCAGCCATGAAAATTGCTTGTGTATTAGCTTTACGTTACAAAGCTTACAGTTTTCAAGCATTCTTGACCTCTTGTGGAGCAATTCTTCAATAGTGCTCGAGAAAGAGTGTGAAGCTGTGAAGGCTGCCATTAAATTCTTGTAGACTTCATACATGTACTTCGGAAGATATCTGATTCCAAGTACGTAACACGAGCTCTTCATGCTACTAGTATTTTGTGGTTCATAAGCATCATTAGCACCTTTTCAGTTCAAATTACAGATTAATTGTGCTGCTGCACCGTCTGAGCGTTGGAAGCGGTTCATTCCTGTGCTCACACACTAGGCTATTATTTTTAGTAGCCGTAAGCTATCGCCTGTCCAGTATTGTCTACCCTTATGAGTAGTAGCAAAATTTTTTCCTTTTTTTTTTTTTCCCATTTTTTTGGTGTAATCGGTTGATATCTTTGATAGTGAAGAATTGCATAAATTGGACCCTTGTTTTGCTGTTAAACCGGAGGTGAATTAGTCATATAATTAATGCCGGGCTGAATGTTTCTCCATTAGTCTATCACCGAATTGTTTATGAAAATCTGACTTGGAAGTGAATTCTTCAATGACTTTTTTAACAAAGTGACTTGGGATCAAAGTGGAGACCAATATGATAAATCAACTTAGCGAACGAGCTCGCTTAATTTCTTCATGCTCGTTCCCAGTCCGATCAATTCGTTCATGGGAGAGCAAGATTGGCTCGATGAGTTTATATTTTTTTGCCTTTTGGCTCGGGAAAGAAACAGCTTTTGATGTCTTAAATTGCTCGACTTGTGGAGCTTGGTCGTGTGATTTTGTGAATCTTCTTCCCGGCTGCTTGGTTTCCTTTTTCCTTCCATTGGCAAGTACGTGAACATAAATCATGCTATACGCCCTGAAAAAGCCTCCTGCAGCATGGCCATAAGATGGTGATGTTTTGAACCTAATCTTCTTCTTCTTCCTCCTCTTTTATTTGGGAACTTGGCCAAACCAACTCGAGTTACGCATTCCTGTCGGCTTCAAATCCCCTGTCCCCAAAATAGTTTCTATCCCCTCTGTCCCTTATTTGTACAGCTGCCACGTGTCCCTAGCCTTTTGTTAACCCAAACTCAAATAAATCGATAATAATTGGTTTACAAGTTTTGTTAACCTAAACTCAAACAAACCGATAATAGTCGATTGACAGGTTTTCTCAAAGGCTGATTTTACAGATAACTCAAAAATATTAAGTAATTAATTTTAAATCATCGCATTTACATAATTATGAGAAGTAAAAAAAATTAAAAAGAGCTAAATAAGTTGATATAAACACACACATGTGGTAGGGTTTAAGAAAAAGATGATTTGGGGTAAAAAATAAAGAAGAGTTTTAGTTGATTTTTATGTTTATGATCAACAAGACTCTTTTTTGTTAAAAAGAAAATAAAAAAAAAGTTTTGAGTTATCGATTTATTTGAGTTTGAGTTAACAAAACTTGTAAACCGATTATTATCGATTTATTTGAGTTTCGATCAACAAAAGGTTAGGGACACGTGACAGCTGTACAAATAAGAGACAGAAACTATTTTGGGGACAAAGAATTTGAAGCCATTCCTGTCTGAACTTTCCAAACCACACTCTCAGTGGTACATAAGCTTCAGCATATTGTCTCAAGGATTTCTTAGCTCACATGAATGCCCCTTCAAGCACACTGATTGAAATTAAGCAAATCGATCTCCAATTTGCTTTCACCTCCATTCCCCTCCCCAATAACACAAAAAGCTATCTTCCATTAATTTGCACATTCTTAACCACTGACTCTTAATACACTCTGATGAGGTGCACTATTTTGCAGAAAGCTAAAGTGATTGCAGCTGATATGTTTCTTTTAGGAACTGTGTTGGATATTACATACATGTAAACTAGCTACATTAGTATTCACTTCAACAGCTTTATTGATCGAAAGATAATAGATTCATGAGATTCTTGAGCTTAAAATTCTACAGGCTCACATGCACAACCATTCATTGTCACAAGATTTTTCATCCTAAGAATGGTGTGGGACTTGAATCAAGTACGTTTGTAATGGTCACACACCCACATGCAGCAACCCCGGAGATCACTGTCCATCCAAATCTCAAATCCCGTTAACCAAACCTTTGGAGCTTTTCAGTTCGGACCACCTTCCAAGTGTTAATTTGAAAAATCGAGCTTTTTTTCACCACGGAGCAGTTCTGTGTTCTAGTTTTCCTTCTCAAACCCTCGTCAAGAAGTTCCAACATCACCGCTGCAGTTATACGTCTCAAGATATGCATCTTCATCTTCATCCTACATAAACGAGACAGATGCCGTCAATCATGATTATGCCACTTGGAAAATGGTTGTCACAGTCATTCACAAAAAATAAAATATCCGAACTAGCATATATTTGTTATTGTTACGAAGTATAAACATTAAGCAGATAGAGAACATGTTTATCCAAAGCCTACTAAAGGAAATATCCAAGATTTCCAGTCAAGTCTATTGGAGAAAAGATGTTAGAAACCAAGAGAATGGACCATCAATAGTGTCAAAATTACAAGATTACAATTATGCAATCCTTTCTGTGACTGAATATTGCTTCAGATATAAGAAAACTAGGCAAAGTGGTACCAATGATTTGAAAGGTAAACATAATCTAAAAGATCTTCATGTCTACATCCTCCACTGCCATAAATTCTACAACAACCAGAAAAAATCAGTCAAATGCATTCAAAGCTTAAATTATTGCTTACTTCTTGCAATTCATCATCATCGGATGCATCATCCACCCTTGAGTACAAGGTCTCCTCATCGATCTCCTTGACATTCTTCATATCTTCTTGTGCAGCAAGAAACAAGTTAACCTTTAGCTTCTCCTGATTCTTATGCATATCATACAGAATGTCATTTAGCCAGAAAACATACAAGCTCAGATTTCAGCTTCTCAATTTTTTCTTGCAACTCTGCCACATGATGCTTTAGAGCCTGGATATGTTTCAATGAGGATACATGATTAATGATCATCTCAACAAACAATATTGTAAATCTGGACATTGAAGGAAGGAAAAAAAGGGGTTTGTAAAAATCACTAGTCAGGATTACCTCACGTCTCTGAAGCTCAATAGAACGAGCCAATGCTTGCCTTCTTGTCAGAAGATTTTTAGGCCTAAATGCACTAGGAGGGAGATAATTTTTTCCACGATAAACAATAATGACATATCCTTTGGCAGTTTTGTCAACTGATACTAAAATACCACCACTCTCTGCCTCAAGAGAAATTGCAATATGTTTGACTTGTGGGAAACTTTTTCGTTCCACAAAAATCTTCACCAGCTCTCTGTACTTCCAATGCAGGTGCATATTTTCAATGGTACCATCAAAAATGCCTCTCCTTCCTAAAAACCAGAACATGTTAATTCCTAGCTTTCATCTGTTACTGACTAATAATACACAAACAAAAGAACTGGACAAAATAGCAATACAGAACTGATATGAAAAGAAAACGTTGGTGACTTTAGATCGCATGGTCCCACTACATGGCTACAGCAGATAGATTTCCGAATAAGTAAAGCTCAAGGAACAGCAATTGTTACCTAGAAACAGATATGGTTTCATACTCAGACCCATTTTCCGAAGTAAAAACCTTTCCTCATCATTTATAGTTTCCAAGTCAGTGGGTTGTTCAGCAGGTTCAAAATTTTCTTGCACTTTCAATAAAGCCTTCTCGGCCTTTGTTATCTTCCCTTTTGCCTGCAAATAGCGGAAAGTTTATATAGAGCCAAATATTCACAAGGGCTAAAAGTAGTGCCTGCATTTTCCAAAGAAAAAAAAAAGACTCATCTTAATATACTGCCACTTACAATAGCTAGCTTGTTCTCAAGAGATTTAACCAAAGCAGCATGCTTTACTACAGCTGAATCTCTCATCATCTTCTCTAAATCTTCACCAGTTGCCTGGTTGTTCCAGCGCAAGGTTGCTGCCTTTGTCTCAGAAAGGGTTCCGGCAACTAAAGGCCGTTCAGCAACTTTGACATTTGACGCAATCAGGGCCAATGCTCTCTGACGCGCTATTTCTTCCTCATCCTGTTGGAGAACAGTTTCTCTCTCTTTTTCCACCAATGCTTGCGTAACACCAGATGGCAAAAAATCATTTCCCCTGTAAAATACGATATATTCCTTGTTTCTTGACAATAGTGTACCTCCAGTTAATACCTAAGTGAATCATATCAGAATGTTGTTAGCAAGAAAGACGTGCATCAACCAACAACATCACATTCCTCACAGGAAAAGAAAAAGAAAGTAAACTAGTGTTTCTCAAATGATTAGCATGACTGGAACAAATTCTTTTAAGAGCACCAAGCAAAAAAGAAGACTTGCTCAGAAGCTGATTATTTAAACACTGAAATGCAAATACCAATAAAAGAAAAACTACCAGACAGTTCATGATGCTTTCACTCATTTTCAGGTTCAACAATTTGTCCATGCGTTTAATGTGACTGGAGATTCAATGAATCAGATTAGAGATTAAAAATGTGAGCAAGCAAATGTTCACACTCTTCAACATACTCATAGGTGAAAATATTCGTTAACTCATATATATATATATATATATATGTATGTATGTATGTATGTATGTATGTATGTATGAATGTAGGCATTCAGATATCCAACCTTGAGTTCTTCTGCCATTCTTTCATTGCAAGTATTCTGTACACCACGTTTGATGGCTATCTTTGCAATAGCACACTTTTCCCACAACTTTACCATTGCCAATGCCAGACCTTGCAGTTGTCTGTTTCTTCCTAGATATTTGTAAAAACATACTCCATATATGAGTACTCAATATCTGAAACAAAGAGAAAGCACAAATATGAGTTGGCACACACCTAGGGCAAAATGTGGAGGCAATACTCTGGCACTCCTACGGAAAAATGTCATTTCTTTGTCACGTAAACCATGTCTTATCCCATGAGGTAGAAGCCTAAATGGGGGTCTATATCCAGGAACAACATCAGGAAGCAAGTCAGCATCAACAGGCACTGGTTCACGCCCTGACCAATCTTTGAACCGTGGACCAAGTTCATCCAGCAGTAGGTTGAGCTCACTTCGATCCTTGAGCTCTTTGACAGATAGGTTGTTCGAATAAGATTTAGCAGTCGATGGTTCAGCAGAGCATGAGGTACCGATGCTTCGAGCAAAATTATTCACCTGAACTCCTGAAGATTCAAATTCCTTTGTCTTGTCTTGAGTTTGTCTAGCATACGACTGTACACAATCTAATTTGTATCCCATTCCTCTGTACAACACCACTGTACTGCCTGATCTCCAAATAACCAAACCTCCAGTTCTACTCTGACAGATGGCATAGTACACTATATATAAGCATCCAGTAGGCTTGATTGCATACAAATCTGAAGTAATATTCATTCAAACCAGTTGTAATGGTAAAGCAAATTTATGAAACTATTGCAAATGACGATGTTATAACCATAGAATAGGATAACGTAAAGCTAACTTCAACCAGCATAAAAGAAAGACATCAACGCTAGCAGTTAACTGATACAAGGAAGACTGACATCATGTATTTGCAGTAAAAGATAACATTCATAACTGACTCTGAAGAAAAACTAACCTCTAGAATCTGGTGTGTCCACCTCATATTCATGGCAGTAGGACCTTCGAATTTCAGCTTCACCACCTCATCCAGCTTCCACTTCTCATGAATAGAGTCCACCAATGCCTGCGTTACACCGGCTGCCCCAACCTTTATTCTCTCTACCATCCTCAAAGCCAAATTCCTAAGCCTCTTCAATTCAGGCTCGGGTATTACTTTCTCAGCCACCTCAGTGTTACTTTTTCTTAATCTTTTCCCTTCATGATATTGTTGATCACTCTCACTCTCCCACGGCAACCTCACTGATTCACTAGTATCCCCTGAATCCTTCACATAATTCTGAAAAGCCCCCAACCCATTATTGCTATGTTCAGCACCCTTGTCTATCTCATTAAACAAAAACTCACCTGTCTGTGACGGCTCATTCGAAGTATCATCCTTCTTGGCACCATTTTCTCCAATTTCCTCATCAAGTTTAAGCTTTTCCTCCATTTTCTTTACATCTTGAAATACACTAAAGCTGGTAACATAATTTTCAGAATGCTCATTAAAGCCATTTCGGGTTTCATCATCCTTGACACCCTTTTCTCCACTTTGCTCACCAAGATCAAATTTTCCCTCAAAATTATTACAATTTTGAATTACACGACTGTTAGTAGCATAATTTTGAGCATGATCATTAAGGCCATTGAGGCTTTCAGTACTATTACTGGCCCGCCTCGAGTTTCTAACTGGATTATCAAACTGGGACTTTTTTCTGGGCTTTTTTCCATGCTCCCAAGGAGGCAATATTACCTTTTCTGGTAAACCAGAACTCATTGGCTGACTAACTGCAGAGCTCTTTTCACTTGCTGTCTGAGAAACAACCCCATTGGAAAATCTCACATTTCGCTCTTCATCTTCTTCAAAATTTTCGAACTTTGCTTCTTCTTTTTCTTCTTCTTTTTCTTCTTCTTCCCATGGGAGTTTTTCTATCAAGATAGTGGGTTTCCGAGACCATTTATCTTGAATTTGCTCAACAAAGCTAGGCCTGGGCTTTCTCTTCTTCCTGGTGAGGCTACTTTGCTGCGTGCCAATTTCAATAGAATGAGTCGAACAACAAATTTTAAACTTGAGAGCTCTGTTTAAGCAACGGGTTTCTAATAGTGGAATGAGAAAGTGAGATTCTGAAGAAGATGAAGAAGGGCATGGAAATGGAGTCGGGGAGAGAAAATTCAATGGCGATTGCGAAGTTGCCATTACTGAAGATGACTCGATTGCCGAATGTTGTCTAGCAGGAGAACATCTTGGGCTTCATCGTTGCCAATTATTTGGCCGGCCCAAATTTTAACAGAGCGAGTTGTCGTTTTACTCTCAAGCAACTGGTGGACGGACATATGATGGGCTCACTTTCCACAAAACCAAAGAAGTTTAGCGTAAAGCCCCTCTTATGCCCTTGAGTATCTGGTTTAGTTGGTAAAGACGATCAAAAACGGTCCTACTTTTTTTTCTTTCAGGTTTAAGGTCTTCCATTGAACAAAAAAAAAAAAAAAAAAAAAGTTTTTTTTTCTTGAGTTCTTCCAATTCTTTTTTTTTTTTCGCTTTCAGGCTGCAGGTCCCCCATTGAAACCAAAAAAAAATTTCACTTGAGTTTTTCGAATTTTCTCAACTTTTTTTTTTTTTGGGTAAGTGGAAGGTCGTGGATTCAGGATATAGGACCTTCCACTTATACTCCCTCTCCTTTTACTATCTAATCCAACCTTCCCTCTCGAATTTACTGAAAATGATTACTACTTGTCGGATAATATTTCAATCAAAATGAAATTTACAAGTGCTAAATTATACTATCGAAAGTACATAATCTTTCCTCATAAACAGGTGATGCAAAATCATTTTGCATACGAGTGTGGTGTGCCCATTAGTTTTTTATTTTTCTTTGGTTCATTTAACCATTATTGCGATGAGCAATTAATGATAATTGGTATGGGTTGGTTAGAAATAGAATAGGGCACAATTGTCTAAAGTCAAAGTTCAAAATGCAGCGTAAAAACTAACGAGGCCAATGTGGGAGCAAGCCGCGTTCAACCGAGAACCGGAAAAGTTTTATGTAAGCTGTAGTTGGTCGAGTAAGTGTGTAACAAAGGAGTTCAGCTATTCTTGAATGCTCTCTCTCTCTCTGGTTGTGTTCAAAATTCTTGGCTATCTTACTATATGATGTCTAAAGTTTTATCCTGCATCAAGGCTTAATTTGTCATTAGCAAAACCTGGTGGCCCAAGCCAAGTGGTGCAGCCAAACTTCAAGTTGATATCTTTTAGCAAATAAGGGGAAGAAACAACTCCCAACATATTCTTCCATCGGCAGTTCCACAATAACAAAATGCATTCCGGCGGTGCTACAGAAGAATTTACAGAACACGATTTATGGTGGTGTAGTGTATATCCTCATATGTATGGTTCAAAATATGCGAGCCAGCGACAAAAGTCAAGAAGCTTTTTCGACTGAAAAATGAAAGGCACGACTTGTGAACAATGCGGGATCATGATAGAACAAATCACCTCGCAAATTTATGCAGCAAATTAGCTCGGTGGAAGTTGTACAAGTGCCAAACAAATGAACGTCGAGTTGTCGACTTCGTGGTGTCTAATCTCATCTGCTAGCACTAAGCAGTAAAATCTCGACCACTTAAAACTAGTTTTATGGGTAAACAAGAAGATAATCAGATTAGCATAGCTTGGTGCAGGAGTCTTTTGGGTGGTTTATGTGTCCGCAGGTAACCGGCCAACTAGATTGTGCCCTTTCAATACCTCAGACGACCTCCACACCAAAACACACACACACACACAACCATCCCACACACCCCCCCCCCCCCACCACACACCAAAAGAAAAAAAAAATGCAGAAGAGTTTTTTTTTCAAAAGAAACTATTTTTTTTTAAGGGACTATAGCATATGTTTTAGAAGACACTAAAAGATTAAATAAAACCTGTAATTCGTGTCAAATTATACTTCTTTTTTTTTTTATAGTGTTGATTTTTAAAAAGGGAGAATGTTGTCTAACTGGAAATCACAGATTGGTAGAGCCCATGATCCAATTATTTAATCCCTAATTTCTTTGCCTAGTAGATGATGAGCAGCTTCTTCGGCAGCCACAGACACACCTTGATGCTAAGCATAAGGGAGACATAATCATTAACGTTAATGATACCATTGTTTATTCTTTGCTAGATTTCACGGTGTTCAATCTTCGTGGATTAGCAAGCATAATGACAATGCCGAACTTACTAGGCAGCAGCCTCTTGTTGAAATCCAAAGGAACCTCCAAAGCTAAAGGCTATAGAATCACATTTACGGCTTGTCTCCACTTCCCCGTGTGAACGGCTGTGAAATTATTACTCGACTTTACAATCCATAATCAAGCACACCAGAAAAATAATTTTCAATTAAAATTTCCATCAGGAAACTGACTCCCTCTTTTCAGCCGAAAAGGTGCAATTCATGGGTGTGAAACAGAAAGGAGAATTTTACTACTATATTTTTTTGGGATAATTTCAGAAAGGTTTCTAGTAATTTCAGACAGCTCCCCTCACGTTTTAAAAATTACACATGCCTCTCCTAGAACATAGGTTTGGATTTCACCTTGATGATGTAAGACCAAAAAAGTATATGAATGTCCAAAATTACCCTCACCTAAATTTCCTTAATATGAATAATCATTAAGATTTTTTAAAAGTCAAAAATACACTTGTATATTATCAAAATTATGAGTTTTATTGCTTAGCCAATGTCTTGATATTTTCCATCCCCATGGTTTTCTACATCCACTCAAACTTTCAAACTCTTATCACTTTTTCTTCTCCCAAACAAACTCTTTGTCTTAGATGCCAAAATCCACCATCATAATTCTTACCTTCACAATCTTTACCTCGTTATAAGTTTCTCCCATATATTGCCTAACAAATCTTTAGTCATAAAACTCACAATCCTTACCTTTTCCCTACTCAAACACCCAAGCCCTCAGTTACCAAAATTCTTCTAATCTCTGCTCTCAACATTTGGGTTGGTCATATTAAATCAGCCCACATTTTTTTCCTCTGAATTGACATAATTTTATTGAAAACAAATTTGATATCTATTAAGAGGAACCAGGCAAAATATCAACAAAGTGCAAGTTTGGGATAGTAGTTTTAGTACAATCTATCAAATTATATTTTCCATAATCCAGTAGCTTTTTTGTCCTCAATGATATGAACAATTGGGTGATTTGCAGTGATGATTGCTTCCATCATCATCAACAGCAGTAGCATATTTGAGTGATAGAAGGAATGAGACATCAGCAATTTGAATGATAGAAGGTTACAATTTAATGGCCATGACTAAAGTAATTTGGCCACAATATATGGCTTAGTAAAGAAAAATTGTTTTCCTTTTCTCATTTTCCTTTTTTCTATTATTTTTTCCCCTTTTTATCAATGGCTTGTCTTTTGAAAACTATGAAGGTTATTATGGTCAGTGTTTATCATTAAGGGAGGTAAGTGTAATATTGAAAATTTTAAGAGAGTTCAATGAAATTGTCAGAAACCTCAGGGGACGTTTCTGAAATTATCCCTATTTTTTTTTAATTGGAAAAAACCATTAATATGGCTCCTACCTGGCAACATAGTGCGTTTATTTACATAAAACTTGGTAATCTTGTACAGGAAGTAATAGTTGCAACTACTGCCTGAACAAAATTAGTGATCAAGAGGACTTGAATCTACTTTCTATCCAACTAAATTGATGAAACTATGTGCCTAATTCTAAACAAAATTGAAAATTTTTTGTCCGGGAGACAATATCACTTTCGGATCAAACCGAGCTTTTCTTTCTTGAAATGTGCTCCATTTCGACCCAAAATGGTTCATCCAGTCTTGTCTGGTTTTGTAGTGCGGAAGATACTGCTTGATCTCGATGCCATTTTTGTCACAAAACTCCAGTAGTTCATTATTTTGGTCATCCAAGTTCTTCCAGTCATCCAATGTACCAGAATGCAATAGTCCCACACAGTAAAATGTATCTTCGTCAGGTACGACAGCAGACATTCTCTCATCCCACCTGTAACCAATTAAAAATAAAAATTTATGTTAATTAAATAACATGGAGTACTAATTAATGTTTAACTCGATCCGAACACAAATATATTTGGGAACAGTAATGTTGTTCTAATACTATAATTACCAACACAGCTGGGGTAGAATAATATATTTCCAAGTAAGAAATAAAATATTAGTGCGTAGTATTTTAGAGGCTGATGATTACATTTTCTTGCTTGTTGGGTAGACAAGAATGGGTCCTGTAGCCTTATTCTGTTTAAGTAAGATGTCGACAAAAACACCAGCATTGAAGTCCATGATACGAGACTTGGGTACAAAGAGATTGAGCCACGGATGAGGGACATCCCACAATCCCTTGGACTGAAGCTCGAGCTCCCCACTTCTTACTCTATTCAGAAAACCCACGAAGGAATCATCCTTCTTGAATAAGAATCCAGGAATGTAGTGCAAACCCTCTAGCAATAATTCAAGTTCCTACACATTAGAACAAACAAATGATGCTAAACATGGTATATATATATATACATAGACGTCTACCTAGATAGTAGCATCAAATATGTGTTCAATTAATACTATAAGCTAAATGTACAGCAAATTGACAAGAATGATTAGTAGGATTGCATACCTGATCAACAGTAGCAGCAGTGTTATCGTCGTAGTACTTGACAACTTCCATGCAGTAGAGGATGCCTCGTTCAGTTAACAAGGAAGAAATTTTGGACTGATGGGAAGCGGAGAAAAATGAAGATCTCCAGTTATTGGGAGAACTTTGTTGCAGTATAAGGGAACCTTCTACATAGTCTAGGCCATTATCATTAATTGAGATTAGATATTCCTGGTCTCTTGTAAAGCTGGAAAAATCATCGTACATTATTCTCAGCCATTTCACCTGTACATGTAAAAAGAGAAAAAAAATGTGTACTAGTAAGACATATGTACAACACTACTTGTCTGCCAATTCATAAGCAAAAGCACCCCCGAATCCATCAAAAGAATAAATCCTGGATTCCTTAATTTTGTCCATATTCGCCTTAAGAAAAGTCACAATTGATGTGGAATAGAGATAATGGTTTCTTGTAGCATGATTATTAAACTTAAAAGGTCATAATCAAATTACATTATCAATCCAAGCAAGAAGTCTTAGCTTTTCAGGGCAGTAGATTAGATCCAACAGTGCTTTAAGATACTGACAAT